TTGGCGCCGCGCCCCTCGACGCCCCGACCGCGCCTGCCCAGCGGGTCGGGCGAGCTCACGCTTGCACTTGGGCAATATACATCGCAAATGTTTGCGCCCATGGGAGGCTCAGAACTTGAAATGTTTATACGTCGTGTCTTTTGCATTCTGCGCCCGCCCGCAGAGCGTGGCGGGCGCGTTGTTTGCGCCCGGGTGGCAAGCGAAACGCGCGCCCACTTATGTTGGGTCAGGGCAATAACGCGAACCGAAAACCGTTCGAACTTTCAACGCAGGGGCGCAGCAGGTTCACAAGCCCGGCCCGTTGCGCCCGCGCGCGCGCTGTGAAGGGCGCGCCTAAATTGGCCGCGCGAGCGGGCCGTTTCTGGCGCCCCTTGCAATCGAGCGCGGCGCCTCGGGATTCCGCGCCACCCCCGCCCCCCCTCCTAGCAAAGGGGTCGCGACGCGCTCCGCGCGCGGGCGCAAGGAGGTTCGAGACACCCCTCCCTTCGCGCCGTTCAGGGCCAGGAGTGGCCCGCCCGCCCGGGGGGGGATCTCGCCCGCGCGCGGGGAGGGGGGGACCAGGGCGCCCGCTGCGGTCTCTAGAATTGCGCCATCCATCCGAGCAGCGCGAATGAATCCCCATTGACGGGGAGCGCTTGCGCCATCCACCCGCGCGGCGCGGATTGGCCCCCGCTAGCGGGGAGCGCGAGGACTTACAGCGTTGCAGGTCAGATCGCGCGCGCGCGCGAGTTCTCCAACTCCTCCGGCCCCGCCCCCGCCGCCCCCGACCCCCCCCCCCCGGATCGACGAGGGGGGGGGGGGAGGAGGGAGGAGTAGGAGGAGGACGAGGAGGAGGAGGAGGAAGGAGGAGGAGGAGGAGGGAGGAGGAGGAGGAGGAGGAGGAGGAGGAGGAGGAGGAGGAGGAGGAGGAGGAGGGGGAGGGATGGGGAGCAACAGCAGGGTGAGGAGGGCGGAGCGCGCATCGAAATGCTTAGACCCACCCCAAAAACAAAGAGTAGGCACCAGGCGAAAACATGCTCATATAAACTCACTATAAAATCGATAAACTTCCCCGGGGCAGAATATCTCGCGCGGTAGCGCCCCGAAAAATTTACGCGCACAGAAAATGTGAATATATAAGCGGGAAAGATACATTGGGCCAAGTGCCATAAGGGAAACGCCCCCGATTTAAACTTTGTCCGTCGGCGGTGTTCTGAGGGGGCGACCGAAGCGGGCGCGGGGGCCCTCGGCTGGGCCAGCGGCGCTGCCGCGCGAACGACATCGCCGCCGTCGCCTCAGACAACGTGCCGCGGCCGTGGCGCGCGCGGCCCTAGGAATGCTGGCGCGGGCGCGGCCGGGTCGAGCGGGCCCAGGACGTCGCCGCGCGCGCGGGGCCCCCCTGCGGCAGCTGGCAGCGGTCTCGCCGACAGGGGGCCTACACTTACGCCCATTCGCCGTGGATGCAGAACGTTGACGGGTAAAATCCATAGTTCTGGGGGCCAGGGTCGGTTTCCCACTGTTCACAGATGGCGGGCAGCCCGAAGAGCCGCTTCATCCACGGGGCCGGGCGCGCGCGGCGGAACGCGCCCTTGACGTCCGCCACGCCCACGGAGAACTCCACCTCCTGGAGCGCCGCCTGCAGGCCAGCCTGGAGGCGGCCCTCGGCGCCCCCCATCTCCTCGAGCTCGAAAGCTGGAAGGCCCCATGCCGTCAACCGCTGCGCCGACGGGTGGTCTAACTATCCGCAAGGCATTGCGTCGACGGCGATCAAGAATCACGCGCGTCTTCTCCCCCCCTCTCTTCCGCGCGAAGAAGATGCGTCTTCTCCCCCCCTCTCTTCCGCGCGAAGAAGATGCCTGCCATCTCCGAGACCTGGCGCGCGAGTGACGCCGGGCCGCGCACGGCGAGGCCCCCCGCCAAATCGCTGCACCGAGGTCGGCTCCGCACCGGCGACGACTCGCTGAAGGGCGCCCTCGGACAGCGCTCCAGTGCCTGGCGCGCACTCCCGCGGCCCCGCAGCACGCGCTCGCCCCGCCCCTCCGCGCACTGGCGCGCTCGTCCCCGAAGCAGCTCGCGAAGCGCAGGCGCCGCGGCGATGCTCTCGGGAAGCGACGGAAGCCGGGGTCGGCAAGGGGCGAGCGCGCCCTCAGGAGGGCCGCCAAGGCACGGCGACCTCCCACGCATCAGCTTCCGCAGGGCTGAATGCGGAGGCTGCAGCTCTACGCCGCGCATCGGCTGCGCGACGTCGCCCACCTGCCCCTCGACGCGCCGCAGGGCGTCGAGCTGCGCGTCCGACGCGGGCGCGGCGGGGGGCCCCGCGGGCGCCCCTGCCAGCCAGAAGAGGCTGCCGATGGCCTCATTCACCAGAGCATCATGCAGCCGCCGTCGTCGAACACGAGCGCGGCCCCTTCCTGGCGCCCCCTGACTCGCGCGCCCCCCCCCCCCCCCCCTCGCTGGCAGCGGGAAGATGTCGCGAGCCCCATCCCTAGGCGGCAGCCCAGGAGGTCCTGCGTCACCGACGCCGCTGGCTAGGCCAATTCGGCCAACTCATCGGGCGCCGTCGTGAGCCCCCCGACGCGTCCGCGTCGGAAGGCTTCTTGGGCGGCACCCCGAGCTTCTTCGACTGCGCGTCGCCCTTCCCGCCGCCCCTGTCTGGCTTGGGCCTGTCGACCCCAGCGGCGCGAACTCGGGTTTTCACGACCTCGGCGCCCCCCTTCGCCCTCTTCGCCCCGAGGCTGCGCAGCTCTGGCGCCGCCGCGCCCCCAGGGCCACGCTCGCGAGCGAGATGGCGAGCCGTCCGCCAGTTGGCGAGGGCCCCGAGAACGGAATGGGCATCTGCAATCACCAGCATCCGCCTGGCCACTCCTTCCATGGATCGGAGAACCCACAGGTTCAGCCAATCGTGGCAGCCAGCTGCAGCTAGCTGCAGGCAGTGGCAAAGCACCTCGAGCTCGCTGTCGATCCGGCCCTGGCGCTCTACGCGGTGCTCGCGAGCCCACTCGGCCAGCCAGCGCATCGGGCCCCCACCGTTCTGGCACGTGGCAATTGCGAGGAACGCCACCGAGACAGGTCCGTCAATGGGATCATCCGCGAACGACTCTGCCGTGATCCCGCTCACCACGATGCGCCAGTCCCTATGCCGTTCTCCACGCCCGTCGAAATCCACGCTCAGCGTCCTGATATCATCAGCCGTGCTGGACGGCATGCGGCCACCCCGACTACGCTGACCGTCTCCTGCTTCGGCAGCTTGCAGACCGAGATGCCCCTGCGCGTCCGCCTCCACAGCACGGTCAGCGGCCCGCTCGGCGGTGCCCACGGCCAGCCGAAGATGACCCACCCGTTCACTAGCCCGCCGAGGCGCGTCGGTGGACAGCCGCGCGCATCACCCTGCACACCTCGGAGTCGAAAAAATTCAGGGCGTCCGTCCCCGACACGAAGTCAGCTTCTGTCAGCTGCACCTTCCCCCCTATCGCACGCCTGCCCCCCAGCTCCATCAGCATCCAGATGGCCTCGCCTGCGGGAGCGACAGCTGGCCGCCGCGGTCGATAACCCGGGGCGGGCGAAGCAAAGGACGAAGACGCTGTCCTACACCACTCTTATGAAGCGCATGCTCGGGCCAATCGTCCGCAGCCTGCCCGCGAGCCGGCTCGATGTCGCGACAGCCCTTGCAGAGGGCCAGCGCCCGCTCCAAATTAGGTCTTTCTCTGAACTTATACAGACGCCGTGCACCCAGAGATGGGTAATCCACATCAGGGAAGGGTCGAACTCCAATAGGTCCGTTTTCGAGGTCGCTTCCGTCCAGCCGCTCCTGCCAGAGGTCACCGCTGGGGGAGAGGACCAACCACAGCGCCTCGTCATGCTTATCTCCTCCATCGCCACGGGGTCGCCGACAAGGCCAGATGAACACCCTCTCGTGATCTACGCCGTCATCGTTGTAGCTGACACGGACCCGCGAGCCCACATCCGCCTTAGTCCAAAACTCCTATTCCCCTGCGGCGAGGCGCAGCGGCACGAGCGCGCGGGCCATCTTTGGAGCCTTCTGCTGGAACCTCGCGTCGACGCTCTCTGTGGACTCGCCACAAGGTTCACCCGATCAACTGGCCCAGCCCCCACAAGAGCGGTCCTGACCACGCCAGCGGCTGCCAGCCACTCCGCTCCTCCGCAGGGCAGATCAGCGGCTCGACGACGGGGCAGCTTGGCTCTGACCCGATGGCCTCCCACCTTGGCGTCGGGGGAGGCGGTGGTGGCGGCCCGCTCGCCGATACGTTGCGCTCGGCCTCCAGCTCACGGTCCCAGACCTCAGGGGACAGGTGCTTTTGGTAGATCCGAATGAGCTCTAACTAGAGAATCACCCAACATGGAAAGTTCGGCGGGGTATGCGTCAACATGTCACCCTCGAACCAACAAGGGCTGCGGTCGCAGACAAACCTGAAGGCATGCTGAACTACGACACCCCACTCCCCGCTAATCATGTCCGTGCACGCACCCCCATCATCATCATCCTCCTCCTCCTCATCATCATCATCATCATCATCAAAATCAGCATCAGCATCAGCATCAGCATCATCATCATCAGCATCATCATCATTATTATTATCATCATCAACATCATCAGCATCAGCATCATCATCATCATCATCATCAACATCATCATCATCAACCTCGCCATCGCCATCGCCATCACCATCACCGCCACCGTCACCATCACCGTCGTCACCACCACAATCCTATCCCTTCCTCCCGTGCATCTCACGTGAGCGGTACTCCGCCGTGCCTCTATTCTCCTAACTGTCCTAGCCAACCTCCGATGAAAACAACATATGTCTGCCTGCCTGCCTGCCTGCTTGCCTGGCTGCCTGTCTGTCTGCCTGTCTGTCTGTGTGTCTGTCTGCCTGTTTGTTTGGCTCTTTCTCTCTCTCTCTCTCTCTTCCATTATTTTGTTTTGTTCTCTCTCTGTCTCTCTCTCTCTCTCTCTCTCCCTGTATATCTCTATATTTGTGTGTTTCGCGGACGGGGCGGACCTGACCGAGGTCATGCCGCATGAGGTCCACCAACATCAGGTGCTCTGCCACCTTCGGAAACAAACATATTGCACAAGGAACCAGGCTCCACCCTGGGCCCCAGGCCGGTGCGCAGACCCCCCAGCCCAGGCAGCCAAAGGTCTGCACGCAATGGCACCAGTCTGCGGCCCAAGATAATGGGCCTGACCATGGCTGGCGGCTGTGCGCAAATTGCTGGTGCCCGCCGCCTCCTTCCGGGAAGCAGCCATCTCGGCCCGCAGAGCCGCGTC